GGGGGGGGGGGGAATGACCAGAATCCCTTTAAGTCCCAGGGGCAGTCGGCTGCAGTCCAGAGACGTAACTCCTCCAAACTAACCTCCATGTCTCTTTGATTATTATTATTTTCACATTTCTATCTCCTTTTTCGTCTAGTGAGCGCAGAGTAACAAACAGACCCCTCTTCCTCCCCTACTTTAGTTGCCTCAATGACCCTGTTGTAGAGGCAGAAAATGCCAGGTCACCCACTGCATTTCACAGCTCACCAAAGATTCCACTCCATCCACTAAACCAGAGTAATTATCAATGTGCAAGCTTTATTTCTTAACAGATCTTGCCCAACGAATTACCCAATGGCTGTTTATTTAATAGGTAGACGTTTATTCAGCTATCCTGACAGCTTCGTTGGCTCATAATTGCAGCCTTCGGGCTAACGCTCAGTCCCGGTTTAATGACTTGGAGCCGTCAACTTTATTAATATCCCCTTATCGCAGAGGGTTTAGAAGGAGACGTGAGGCTGTAGTGGAAAGCATGGTGTGAACCCATGGCCGAGGGACTTCCTGTTTTGGAACGGAGTGGCTTCATCTCTTTTAAGTTCCCCAAATCCAGCGGTGACAGCTGTGCTCTGTGTTGTGTTTTCCTCTTCTTGCCAGGCCACGGGGACCGGTTTCCGAGGCGTCTCCCACCTGCTGGCCAAGGGGCTCTCAACGTTGACCTATTCCACTCTTTGCCTCCCCGATGACCTCCACAACAGAGGCGTTGAATCCCTCCCCGGCTACTATTATAAGGAGGATGGTCTGAAGCTCTGGGAAGCCATCAAGAGGTGCTGGGGGTCATGGACGTGTAGAGGATGACCAGGCCAAAAATCGAGGCTTAACCTGCCCTGGGGGGCTCTGGGGACCCAGATTGCATGAGGGCGGTGCTTCCATCCGAACGTAGTGGGAGGTCTCCATGGTGCTGAACCTATGACATCCGGGCAAACGTTCAGAACCGGTTTCCTTCCCCTTGCAAAATTGGAATCCCCACCTTCCACTTCTCTCCTGCTAGGCTTTCTGGGATGGGGTGCCCCAAGAGTGTATTATCTAGGTACCCCTTACTCCCGTGTCAAATCACAGACTCCTGGACTTAAGAAATAAGGGCCAGTCTGTGCATTGCGGGTAATGTCGTTCGAGCAGAAATCATGGCGTTGCTCTGAAGACGTAATTCCGGTAGAACGTTATCTCTCAGAAATCAGATTTGCAAACAACGCTCTTGTTTATGAGCAGGAGACAAATCCGAAAACAGGAGAAGCTAAGTTTGCAAACTACAGGAGGTGTGACAAGCTCTTGTTGCGGCAATTAAATGCCTTTAGAACTTAAGTACTGTAATTCCCTTTTCTTATTATGTGCTCTCGGTGATGTATCTGTCGACCCTATGTCTTGCTTGAGCTTCCCCAACCTCAAGTGATATGGGGGACTAGTTTCCATTATTCCCCCAGCCAAATTCATTAAACTGATAGCTTCAGCCACCAGCTGGGTCTCCCAGCTACTAAATTGATAGCTTCAGCCACCAGCTTAAATTGGCCCTAGAAAATATAGCAGTCCCGCAGATGCACTCAAGAAACATATGGAAGGCCACCATCTCAAAGATTCTGACTGATCTAAGAATGCAGGCGAGTGAAAACTCTTGTTTTCAGACTCGGAAGGGGAATAGAATCAGGTGATCATAAATCATAGAATAATGGAGTTGGAAGGGGCCTCTTAAGGCCATCCAGTCCAACCCCCTGCTCAAGGCAGGAATCCAAACCAAAGCAGATCTGACAGACGGTTGTCTAAGTTTCTCTTGAAGGCCTCTCCAGTGTTGAAGCACTCAACACCTCCCGAGGTCATGGGTTCCACTGTCGTACTGCTCGAACAGTTAAGAAGTCATCGTCCTCTCCCCTAATATTCAGTCTAAATCTGCCTTCCTGTTGCTTACGCCATGATGACATGTCCTGAACTTTGGGAGGATCGAAAACAGACCCGCGATGGAGTTAACCCACTGAAGTTTTAAAACCACATATCTTATGGCTATAAAAGCAATTCAACCTTTACATTCGAGAAGGAGCAAATTTATCCCACGACCGCTGTCCTGTTATGCCTTAGTTGCAGCAAAACAAGAATGGGTTAGAAGCAATGTATTATTGATAGCTTGTTCCTTCCAATCTTTGTCTTCTGGGGAAGGAGTTACTGGATAAAATCACGGTAGGGGGACCATGGACATCAACTCTCAGAATCCCCTCAGGCCGCATGGCCGCTGGTGATGCTGAACAGAGGATGCTGGACGTCATCGTCCGAATGCTTCTGTCGAGAGAGGATCACAGATTTCTAGAATCTAGCTCACCGTGGTTTTTCCTCCTCTCTACCATCCATTTTTCCACAGCTTCGTCTCCACGATCGTTGGTCTCTATTACAAGAGCGACGGCGCCATCAAGGAAGACTCAGAACTTCAGGCATGGGTGGCCGAAATTTTTGACCAATGTTTCTTCCGGCGAGAGTCCTCTGGTAATGTCCGCTTCCCTCAGCCTTGAGTCAACCCTCTATTAAACTCTTCTAGGATCCAGAAACATCTCAGACCTCCTCCCGTTGGCGGGGGGCGGGGGGAAGAGAGGGCCAGTGGCGTGTGGGGCCAGGGGTACGAACGTTTGGCCTTTGGGCCAACCGAGTGCTGCTGAGTTGATGAGTTTTAAGCAGGTGGAACAGCTTCAGAGGGACGTGGTGGTGCTGTGGGTTAAACCGCAGAAGCCTCTGGGCTGCAAGGTCAGAAGACCAGCCTTCGTAAGATCGAATCCACGCAACGGAGTGAGCTCCCGTCACTCGTCCCAGCTCCTGCCCACCTAGCTGTTCGAAAGCATGTAAAAATGCGAGCTGATAAATAGGTGCAACCTCGATGGGAAGGTCACGGCGGTCCGTATTTGAAAGCATGTAAAAATGCGAGCTGATAAATAGGTGCGACCTCGATGGGAAGGTCACGGTGTTCCGTATCTAGTCGTGCTGGCCACGTGGCCACGGAAACTGTCTTCGGACAAACGCTGGCTCTACAGCTTGGAAAAGGGGATGAGCACCGCACCCTAGAGTCGGACATGACTGGACTAAATGTCAAGGGGAACCTTTCCCTAACAGCTTCAGACTGGGGTGTTTTTTTTTTTTTTAAATAAATGTCAAGGGGAACCTTTACCTAACAGCTTCAGACTAGGGTTTTTTTAAAAAAAGTAAGCTACTAATTAAAATTAGAAAATTCTTTTCTAATTATAAAATTAGACAACTACCTCTAACGGGGTGAAAACTATAAAAACTGGACATCTCTTGGCGGCTTCAGGAAAATGGTTCCGAGATAGTGCAGGAGCAAGAGACCTAAACTTGGTGGGGAACCTTTACCTAACAGCTTCAGACTAGGGTTTTTTTAAAAAAAGTAAGCTACTAATTAAAATTAGAAAATTCTTTTCTAATTATAAAATTAGACAACTACCTCTAACGGGGTGAAAACTATAAAAACTGGACATCTCTTGGCGGCTTCAGGAAAATGGTTCCGAGATAGTGCAGGAGCAAGAGACCTAAACTTGGTTCCAGAAGCCCTTTTAAGGTGGGCTCTATTAAGTCTGTGGAGGTATTGGGTAGACATTACGGAGGATGCCCCCGTGTGCCTCCTTTTGGTGGCAAAGAAGAAAACAGTGGCCACTAACTTTAAGAAGAAGAAGGAAGAGTCAAGAACGAGTGCAGTCATTCTAGTGTGGGCCGTTATTGACAGGGAAAAGCCAGAGGGAACAATCGGTCACCCACCTCTTTCCGTCTTGTTCAGGGGACTCGTTAGAATCGTTCACGCTTTCATTTGTCAGAAGATGGAACGGAGTTCACTTTTGTTACCGACCTTGTGCTTTCTGTTCCCACACATCCCCATTTCTCCCAGGCTTCCCGGCACATCTGGAAACCACTGCCGAATTAACCAAATACCTCACCATGGTGATCTTCACGTGCTCGATTCGCCACGCCAGTGTCAACAATGGACAGGTTTGGGTCTTCCCGGTTTTCACCCTCCTGGGTCTCTCGGTCTAGGGGTGTCAGCCGCCCCCATCCCAGATCGCAAGGGTGGGTGGGGGAAATGGTGCAGGGGGGCGACTAGAGGGCCTCTAGGTGGCGCTCTTTGAGAAACTGGATGGAGTACAGTGAGTCAACAATAGGAAAAGCTCTGCCTGTTGGACTCTCCTCCGTCGTACATCTGTTAAAAGCAAAGAACATCTGCCTGTCCTCCACGGACACTGGTTCCTGAACCTGGGTCCTGGGATATGGGCCAATTTTTTCTGAGCTCCAGGCTGGGCCCTTCCAAAGGCTTTGTTTAGCTTTGCCCAAATGGAGATCCATCTTCCCACCTTTGCGAAAAAAAACCTAAGGTCAACATACTCCAAAGGACAGCTTCACCTTAAGAAGCTGATAGCATGATGTGATTCCCTGGAAGTGGCATGCCTGAGCAATCAGGCTTGCCAACGTAGCCCTGGTTGACCTTGCAATGGCCAATCACAGAACAGAGGGAGCTGAGTCATCAGACACAGAAGGGAAGGGAAGCTGACGCCAAGAGGGACGGGCGTTGTTCAGCATTTAAGAGATTCCCACTTATAACTGTGCCTCATCTCTATATATATACTGTCCAGTTTGATCCTAGCTTTCTAGGAAATTAATCCTCATGGGTTGCAAGGCAGGGAGGGTCCCCTAACCTCCAGTTCCCCCCCTGTTTTCCAGTTCGACTTTGGCTCTTGGATGCCCAATTACCCCTCCTCCATGCGGAAGCCGCCCCCGACATCCAAGGGGAGTGTCACGTTTCAAGATGTTCTGGACACTTTGCCCGATGTCAGCACAACCTGTAACACTTTGCTGATCCTTTGGTTACTCAGCAACGAACCAGGAGAGAGGGTAAGAAAGAAAAGCTTGGGCACCTGGTTCCATGTTTTGAACTTGGGATGCCTTCTTACCAGTCCAAGAGGGTGAAAATGCATCGATCTGTTGCAAAGGTAGCTGAGGGTCACGTTACACCAATTCCCCACTACTGCAGTGCTTCCCTTCCAAGATACACGACTTTGCAAAGGTAGCTGAGGGTCACGTTACACAAATTCCCCCTCTATTGCAGGGCTTCCCTTCCAAGACACACGGCCCTTTCCAAGTTTCTGCACCTGACTAATCAGACTTGCAAATGAAGTCTCCGTTTACCTCCCAGTGACCAATCACAAGGCTCATTTGCAGCATACGGAGGGAGGCAAGCTTATGCCACACAGATGTCTTTTACCACTTGAGGGAGTTCCGCTTGTAATGACAGGTTAACTGTATCATGTAATTTGACCCTCAAGACATGTTACACCAGACTAAGCCGATAAAAAGGCACTGGTTTATTTCTTCCCCTGAAACAAAGCAGAGCCACAGCTAAACTGGAGAAGGCAGTGCGGTATATTGGTCAGAGCTGCAAACTAAGATTGAAGGGACTTCACTGAAATTTGACTCGCAGCTCAGAACCTGCTGGGTTCCAAGTTGGGAGCTGAAGCTGAGTGGAGTCGCTGGTGCAAGGCCTGGAAATCGAGGGATGATAGGTGTTGTAGTCCATGCCCCACCCTTTTTTCCTGGGGGGGAAAGCTTGTTTTTAACAGGGATTCTTGCTTGGGGCCTGTGACTTGGTACCAAAGGCTCAGACTCAGAACCTGGGGGGGGGAAGCTTGTTTTTAACAGGGATTCTTCCTTGGGGCTTGTGACTTGGTACCAAAGGCTTGGACTCAGAACTGGAACTCGGACCCAAAGACTTACCAACACCTCTGACACCCACCCACACCAGCACACACACACAGAGACAAGTGGCTACTCAGACCCAAAGACTTACCAACACCCCTGACACACACCCACACCAGCACACACACAAACACACACAAAGTGGCTATTTGCTCTGGGAAGACAGAAGGTATTTCACACCTATCTGACACGAACTCTCCTTACCAGAGTTTAGACGTGTTTCCCTTTGGGGCACTACAAGACCCAGAATCCCCCCTACCACCTTGGCCACCTGTGGGCTGTGTGGATTCTGGGAGTTATAATCCAAAGAAAGAACTTATTGGTTGGTTGCTTTGTTTATATGCTGCTTTGCTCCCTTCATGTTGCTCCTCCGTTGTGGATACACAGGGCACTTCCCCACCTCAAAGGCTGATGCCAGCTGGGGAGTTATGGGATATGTAGTCCAGAAAGGACACCATCCACACTCTCCTCCTTGAGAGGGTTGTTCTGCATGACCCTGAGATGTGCCAAGGAGGGCGTTCCAGAGACCCTGTTCTTTCTCCCAAGTGGGGGCCTCACGCTGTTTCAATGTGTCTCCGTTTTTCAGAGACCTCTCGGCTGTTACCCCGACGAACATTTCACAGAGGAAGGACCCAAACGGGCCATCGCCGCTTTCCAGAAACGCCTGGCTGAGATCTCCGAGGAAATTGACAAGCGGAACCGAGGCCTGCCCTTACCGTACCACTACCTCAACCCCCCAGAGATAGAGAACAGCACCTCCATCTAAGGGATGCCTTGAAGCCTGGCATTTCTCGGTGGTGGAACCTGAGGTAGCAGCAGGGAGCCGTGATAGTGTCTCTGGCTACCACACCTGTTGAATAGCAGCCTTCTGGACTTTAGCTTGAGCCCCATTAGGTGGCTTTGGGCTGGTGTGTCGTCTTTTACAAAGGACATTATACGGTTGCCAATGGACCAGTGCCCTCTGTTTGAAGTGCTGCCCAGCCCAAGTCTAATTTAAAGACAAGGAACTGTGGGTGATCACGGAAAAAGGAAGGCTAATTGCCTTCGAGAGAGAACAAAGGAGTCGAGAGCGAAAGTCCGAGCCAGCGGAGCCCACTGGCAACGCCCTGAGAGCTCTTTTATTGACTTAGCATGATTACATAGTATGTTATCAGAGAAAAAGATAGGATACTAGTTACCTAATCGTAACCAGGATTGGCTAAAATAACCCTTTGATCATATGCTCTTTGTTGTTGTTTAGTCATTAAGTTGTGTCCGACTCTTCATGACCCCATGGATGAGAGCACGCCAGGCCCTCCTGTCTTCCATGGCCTCCCGGAGTTGGGTCAAATTCATGTTGGTTGCTTCGCAGACACTGTCCAACCATCTCGTCCTCTGTCATCCCTTTCTCCTCCTGCCTTCACACTTTCCCCACCTCAGGGTCTTATCCAGGGAGTCTTCTCTTATCTCTACCTCTAAGCAAAAGGGCAGAATAAGGGGTTACCCTGTCCACTGGCCACTGCCGCATCCTGCCGGGGGTGTATACCCGTCACTGAAGAAGAAGGGTGTATGTGTGGAGCGGAGAGATCCAAGACCTTCATATGGCCCATTACCCACCCCACCCCACCCCAGTTAGTAGCTTTTGAGTAGCAAGCTGAGCCACAAGATGCAGCCTTTCTGATCAGAGCTTTTTTGGTTCAAGTATTAAAATCATTTCCAATTTTGCGTCTTTTGCATATAAGTTCACACATGCTGTTTTGAAGAAATGAGTGGCCTCGGTCATCCTCTTTTTCGGCCTCTTTTGCTGGGGGGGGGCAGTGATGCTGTGTAAGCGCCCTCCTAACCATATCCAGCATTCTGACTGTTGAAAAGGTATGAAGGGATACTTTTGCTGGAGGAGAAGGTGTCTTAAGGGTGGGTTTGTTGATTGGTTTCCTTTTTGTCTTGGAGGTGGTTTCTTCTTAAAATGACTTTCGAAGAAGTGAGCAAGTTCACTACCTGTTACAGCCCTTTATGGCCTCACCGTGTGCCGAAAATCTCACCCGACTGCCTGATACCAACCTGCCCATGGGTATCCCTGCCACACTGTGGATAATATTTCTTACAACGGACTAAAAAGTGCAATCTAAACCATTTGGGGTGTATGCTCAGATAGTTCAGTTTGTACTTAAGGTTTCCGAAGGTCATCGTTTTTAGCTGTGTCATAACTCTTTGGTATTCTGCATGGATGTTTAAAGGTTAGACATATCAGATGGGCTGATTTCCTGTGTGTGGTGTGGTGTGGTGTGGTGTGTGTGTGTGTGGGGGGGTGTTGAGGAACTCCTGACAACCTGTCTTGACATATTGGCTGGAGTCCTGACCCTTAAAATCATAAAATACACTCTTTGGTATTCTGCATGGATGTTTAAAAGTTAGACATATCAGATGGGATGATTCCCTCTTTAATACAGTGGTGCCTCGCATTGCGACGTTAATTCATTCCGCAAAAATCGCTGCAGAACGAAAAAGTCGCTATGCGATATTAAAAAGCCCATAGAAATGCATTGCAACCCCTTCAATGGGCTTAAAACACACTGTTCAGCGAAGATCCTCCATAGCGCGGCCATTTTTGCTGCCTCTTAAGCGAGGAATCCGTCCCTAAACACAGCGGGTGGCCATTTTGTTTACCCGGCGGCCATTTTGAAACTGCCAATCAGCTGTTTTAAAATCGTCGCTTTGCGATGCTCGGTTCCCGAAGCAGGGAACTGAGCATCGCAAAGGGAAATTCCCCCATAGGGGAACGGAACAATTGCTATGCGAGGCACCATTGTAATGGTTGGGTAGGTCACGCTAAACGGAGCGATCGCTATGCGAGGCACCACTGTAATGGAGTTGGGTGGGTCACTATGAGGCCATCCAGTCCAACCCTCTGCTCAAGGCAGGTGTCCCAATCAAAGCAGATGAGAAAGAGGATGGTCCACTTTTCTCTTGAAGGCCTCCAGCGTTGGAAGTACTCACCACCCCCCAAGGTCGTGGGTCCCATTTTCATAATGCTCTAACAATTAAGAGGTTTGCCTCCAGCGTTGGGAGCACTCACCACCTCGTGGGGTCCCATTTTCATAATGCTCTAACAGTTAAGAGGTTTTTGCTCAGTGCAATAAGTCGCACTAGAGTAGGCCCATTGAACTAGTGGAGGATGATGCTTAGTGCAGTAAGTTGCACTAGAGTAGGCCAATTGAACTAGTGGAGGATGACCCAAATGGGACTACGGTACTCTAAGGTGCCAAAATGGACAAGCTCACAAAGTTCATTCTAGCCGGCAATTAGGAGAAAGGAGGCCTCTCAAAATTACCTGGTTAAAGTCCCATGTTCTGTACCAAAAATATTGATCTTAGCTTACAGCCAGCTAAGGAGGGCACTTCTGGATGAAATCAGGAAAACACCTTTCTCCTAGAGGTAGAAGCTGCATGGAAACAAAACAAAACAACTCTCATCTTGTGGGAAGGTGAACAGGAACAGAGCAAACTCAAGAGTTCTGAAGTCCAAGATCTTCAGTCACAGGGGTGGGTGAAATCTGGCCCAAGGCCCCTGCGGTGGCTGCCTTCAACCACAGAAGTTCCCCTTTTCCCAGTTGCAGCAACAACGGCGGTTAAGCAATGTGTGACTGCAATCCAGTTCAGAAACTTAATTCCCCGACACCCATTGAAAGATAGTCCTACCGAGGAGGGGCAGGATCTGTTCTCCACCATCCCAGAGCGCAGGACACATCATCGTGGGCTCAAGCGACAAGAAGACAGATTTAAGCTGAATATCAAGAAAAAAACTTCTTCACTGTTAGAGCAGTATGACGATGGACGCCATGATCTCGGGAGGCGGTTCTCCTGCTGGAGGCATTCAGGAGAAAATGCGACCACCCTCTGTCAGATATGCTTTGATTTGGATTCCACAAGGGGTTGGACCCCATGGCCTTTGAAGCCACTTCCCACTCCATGATTATATGATACACAATATGAATTTATCTAACCCAACTGACAGAACATCATCATGCATTCCTTTCCTCAGATCAGCCAAATGACAGCCCCCCCCACAGGTGGCCTTCCAGAATTCTAGCATCCTCCCCCAAAATTTATTTTTTAAAAAACCTTTTTTTTGACGTTCCCTCTCACCTTCCAGTGACAGGTAGATGATTTCACCAGGTGCCCCCCTCCGCCAATGCCACCCCATTTCTTTCAGATGAGCAAGGCCTTAATAAATAAAATAATAAACCAGCAAATCATGCAATGATAGGGAGAGGGGCAGATGGGTCCTGTTTTCAACAAGAAATCTGGGTCTCAAACAGATCATAGATATAGGCCCCAAACTTGGTGAATTATCCCCACACACACACACACAAAGAAGACAGGGCACAAGTTGTAAGTTTTTTTAAAAGGACCCGGGTAGTCCTCGGAGCAATGTGGCTCTCTGGGGTGGGGTGGGGGCTACATATGAGACCCTCTCGTCCTCTGAAAGTTGCCCCTCTGTGTTCTAAAAGGATTTGGGGCTGGAAAAACACCCCCTAGGTTTTGCCCGCCTGTCCCAACTTTTTATGTTAGGAACGACTCAGATGCCAGAATCCCTCGCAGTAAGTAGGTGGAGGGAAACCTAGAAGAGATGCAGAATGGACCGCATCCTGCCTAACCTGGCAGTACCCAGCGGCATGTGACTGTAGTCCGGGAGGGAGTCACGTCTGCCCAATGAATCACCTCACTTAATTAAGATGACTTACTTATCAGCATGGCATGATCGCCTATTACAGGATGCAATAGGCAAAGAAGGGCCCACCTTGTCTGGATGTTTTGAATTCTTTTCATTCATTGCTCCCACTCATCTTTGAGTGAGTCACAGCTATCCGTGGCAGAGCTGTTTATCTTTTCAACCAAGACTGCAGAAAGATATTTCTCTTTTGATAAATCTTTTAAAGAAAAAAGGAAGCATCCAAGCCCTTCTGCTGGAGAGCTTCCCGTTCTTTGCAAAAGCTTCCAGCTGGGGGAAGCGTCTCGCCCGGAACGTGAACTTCCAGGGAAAGTGCCCTGGCAATAAATCTGCCCACCTGGAAGGAAGGAGAGACTAAAAATAGAGCTCATTCCTGAGTTGGAAGAAAAAGAAAAAGAAAAAGAAAAGAAGGTGGGAGAGAAAAAAGCTACTGGACTGCGTGAGCAAGAAGGAATGAATGTTGTGGGACGGGCATGAAGAATACCAATAAAACCAGGGCAAAACACAGTTTGTAAAGCAGGGCAAAGCCTCCATTTGGAAAAGCAAAAGGATGTGGATATACCCCAAAAAAATATTGCAAAACAGCCCCCCCCCCCGGAGCTTCCTGCTGTTTTACAGGCGTTCTGCGTGTTGCAAAAATGAGCGAAAAAAGAAAAAGAAAAGAAGGTGGGAGAGAAAAAAGCTACTGGACTGCGTGAGCAAGAAGGAATGAATGTTGTGGGACGGGCATGAAGAATACCAATAAAACCAGGGCAAAACACAGTTTGTAAAGCAGGGCAAAGCCTCCATTTGGAAAAGCAAAAGGATGTGGATATACCAAAAAAAAATTGTAGCAAAACAGCCCCCCCCCCGAGCTTCCTGCTGTTTTACAGGCGTTTTGTGTGTTGCAAAAATGAGCACTCCTGTCCGGATCAATCTGCATTATTATGATCACCGTGTGTGGCATTCATAAGCAGTGGTTTCCGCAGTTTATCAGGAGAGTTTATCCATTCTGTCTGTCTGCCCACAGATCTGCAGTTCTACGAAGCTTTTGGGTCTTCCTTTTAACTCAAGGCCCCCTCCGTCAAGGGATTTTTTAAGGGCAGGATTATCCCTTCATAATGTCCCAGTTAATTAAGCAACATGGTGGCTCATTGCAGGAGAGGCTTCAAAAACAGACTGCTTTGATTCTCAGCACCAGCTAATTCCCTCCAATTCCTGCAGCGAAATCTTGCTTAATTACTTTTTTTTTTGCATCACCCCGGCTGGCACCCACCCTCCTCGAGTGCAGAAATTGCAACATGTACTCTGAGGCAAGCCATTGCCAAACGCTTCTCCTCTGAAGACACTGCTAAAGATTGCAAATCTTGATGCAAGGATTTCTCTTGAGCCTCGTCGAAACCCTACAGGTCGAGGTGATTTCGCTGCGAATTGGAGGAGACCCTTTACGTCTCCCGTTTCCCATTTGAGGGCCCTGAAGTTCTCGCTGGTGAAAAGGAGTAACCTGTTGCAGGGATGAGGATTTGAGTGACAGGACTCACGGTCAAGTCGGACTTAAGTCGCTTGAACCTGATGCATTTTTCCCCACACAGAGCACCTCTGTCCCTCCCCCTTCCTGCCTTTACCCAGCTTGTTGTTAGTCTGTGGAACTCCTTGCCACAAGATGTGGTGACGGCGCCTCGCCTAGATGCCTTTAAAAGGAGGATGGGACAGATTCCTGGAGGAAAAGTCCGTTGCAGATGACAGGCCACGATGGGGAGGTATCATCTCCAGGCTTCGAAGGAAGGGACCTCCAAAGGCCAGATGCAGGGGAGGGGGATAAGGAGACAGGGATCTTGTGGTTTCGTGTGCTCCCAGAGGCAACCAGTGGGGCCATGGTGAGAGACAGGGAGCTGGACTAGGTGGGGACCTTCATTTATTCCACTAGGGCTCTTGTGATGTTCTTATCACATGCTGATTTATTATTTTGTTTATTTATTAAAATAGGTCTAACTGGCCCTCTGTCGGCAGATCTCAAGTGAGGGTTCAAGCCATAAAACCACATCAACACCATCTAAAACCCCAGCCAAACTAAACTCCTTAGACTGAAAAAACGAGACATGAGCTTAGCCCTCGCCCTCCATCGCCCACTGTTGGGCTGTTTGTGTGCAGTCTCTGCTTCCCAAGGTCTCCAGCCACCCCTCAGCTTTTTGTGAAAAGCTCACGCAGAGACCTCAGCGCCCATAGACAGGCACCACCTGAGTGGGGATTTGAACCCATGACTTCTTCCTTTTCCATAACTTGGAAAACTTGCTTTAGAGCAGAAGTTCCAGAACCCATGAGCCAGCCTAGCCACTATCTGGAGGGGATGCTGGAGGTGGCCGGCCAAGCAGTACGTGTTTCCTGAGCTCTGCCCCTTGTCTAATCTGACCTTGTAATCATCATTACACGACACTGGCTCTTTTGAAGGAGACCTTTGTAAAACCGACACCCCGGCACTTGATTTGACACTGAATCTGTGACCTCTTTCTTTCTTTTTTTTTACATCTTTTATTTTTTTATTGCAGATCAAAAGAAAAATAGAACATGCACACATGATGTAATAAAGACAAAGCAAGAAATACCTGGCCTTTCGTGCATAAACATATTCTGTTGCATGATCGCTCAGATACAGTAATTGTTTTATCTGAGATATATTTCCTATGATTCTATGATTTACTACATTTCCCAGAATTCTTAGCAAGCATGGTCACTCCACTCACATATCACCTGAAACATAAGTGTTTCCCCTCCCATTAACAGGTTAACATGACTGGGTTAAAATTCACACTGCTACTTTTGAATGAAATAGGGTGACAAGCAAACCGAAGCATCAAGTCTTCTACTGTAAATATTGTATTTTTCTGTGTATAAGACGCCCCCATGTATAAGACGCCCCCACACTTTTCTAATCCAAAATTAAGAAATCTAAGTGGAGATTAGCAAGTGTAGGGGGAAAGGGATCAAAGCGCTGCAGGATCCCTTTGATCCCTGCTTTCTGCTTGACTTGTTTTTGTTCTCTCCTAAGACAACCCTCAATTTTTAGTCTAAAGATTTTAGACAAAAGTATAGTCTTATACACAGAAAAATATGGTACATTTTTGACATTATTTTTCAATGTTTATTTTTGTATAATCAGACGCATCAGTTTGCTTTTCCCTTCGGCGGACACAAAAGTAATTATTTTAAGGTGAATACATTATTTCCACACTCTGTATTTCTGCTGTAGTTTATATGGAGATACTGTTCTCCACCATAGGGGGGTACAGATATTCGTAGCGGAGAGGGACGGGGTTATTCTTCTGAACCAGAACTTCGTTCCTCTTCCCAATTTCTTTGGAAATCTCCATCAGGCGTTTCTGGAAGGCCAAAATCAATTTCTTGGGGGCTTCCTCTGTGAAATGCTCGTCAGGGTAACGCCCCAGGGGGATCTGTTCAAACGAAGGAAAGAACAAGAGGAAATATAGACTGCAGTGCATTGAGTAGACTAAAACAACATGGCAGCAGTTGGCAGAAACAGTTAGAGACCACCCATCCCCTCATCAGAGCCTAAAGCACATTAGTGTTGGAGAGACATGACTGAGTCAGTCCTTCGTGTCTGAGAAACCTGATGTTAGAGGAATCCCCTGCTTCTCTCCTGGGGACTAGGGACAAAACACAGCAAGCTCATCTCTGCATTTCCAGTTAAAAAAAACACACAATCAACCTTTAAGGATTTTCCTATTCTGATCTCTAAATGTTTCCACTGTGCTGTCCCAGACCGCATCAAGCAACAATGGCTGCTCCTCACTCCATAGCCCAGGGGTCCTGATCCGCTGTATCGTGAGAAAGACATATTGGTGAGTTGGCAGAAACAGTTAGAGACCACCCATCCCATCATTGGAGCCAAAAGCACATTAGTGTTGGAGAGACATGACTGAGGCAGTCTTTCGTGTCTGAGAAACCTGAGGTCAGAGGAATCCCCTGCTTCTGTCGACAATCCAACCACTCACCATGTCTCCCGGAAAGGCACTGAGCAGCCAGAGGGTGCTCAGGATGATGCATGTGGTGTTGATTTCTGGGATAGTCTCCCTGTAGTTGTATGCGTTCGCCTGGCCCTTGGTGGTAGGAGGGGGTTTTCTCATGGAAGATGGAGAGTTGGGCATCCAGGCGCCAAAATCAAACTGTCACAAAAAAGGCCAAGTGTCAAGAGAAACCCTGACTGGTTCGGACAAGAATGTTTGCTTGTTTGAACTGCAGAGCCCAATGTTGGGAGTTCCGATTCCCCCCATTGGCCTTCCTTGGAGAAAAGCCAGCCTGTGCAGCCTTGGGGAAGCTGCACACAGTCCCAAGGCACCCCTGGACGAGGGTAATGAGAAACCACTCTGTACTTGGGAAACCCTGAAAAGGATTGGCATGAGTCAAACCAGACTTGACAGTACATCAGGATGAATAACATCTGTTATTCCAGAGACTGGAACCATAAAGTGCAGCCTTGGTCTCTCTCTCTCTCTCTTTCTCTCTCTCTCTCTCTTATACACACACCCCACATCTTTTCTGCACCAGAGTGTTCATTATCAGAATGAACAGTTACACAGTCCTTCAATGGGAGGACACCCTTCGTTTGAGGACTGGCCTCTGTAAAGTAGGAGACACAGCCACCCTGCCTGTAGCAGTGGAGGACTGCCATCCACAGACAACACCGTTATTGGCAGGACAAAAATTGCCATGTTGTCTTCTCAGGGAATTCTTGTATTGCAAAGCCAGGTGGAGCAGAGCTTGAAAAAGTTACTTTTAAGGAAAAAAATACATCCCAGGAACCCTTTTTTTTTGGCCGGCTCTGAGGCCGAGAGATCTTTTCCAGAAGCTTCTTGGCATCCCCATGAAGACTCGCCTCCCAGAAGCCCTTGCGAAAAACCCAGGCCCCTTAAAGCCATTATAAACAACACCCACTCTTTGAATGTGTGGACCACAGCAAACTATGGCAAGTCCTTAAAGAAATGGGAGTGCCTGACCACCTTATCTCCCCCCCGAGCAACCTTTACGTGCAACAGGAAGCAACAGTTAGAACTGGATGTGGAACAACTGATTGGTTCAAAATTGGGAAAGGAGTACGACAAGGCTGTACGCTGTCTCCTTGCTTATTTAACTTATATGCAGAATACATCATGTGGAAGGCTGGACTGGAGGAATCCCAAGCTGGAATTAAGATTGCGGGAAGAAATATCAACAACCTCCGATATGCAGATGATACCACTCTGATGGCAGAAAGTGAGGAGGAACTAAAGAACCTCTTAATGAGGGTGAAAGAAGAGAGCGCAAAAAACGGTCTGAAACTCAACATCAAAAAAACTAAGATCATGCCCACTGGTCCAATCACCTCCTGGCAAATAGAAGGGAAAGATATGGAGGCAGTGACAGATTGTACTTTCTTGGGCTCCATGATCACTGCAGATGGAGACAGCAGCCACGAAATTAAAAGATACCTGCTTCTTGGGAGGAAAGCGATGACAAACGTAGACAGCTTTCCCTTCGGCGGACACAAAATTAATTATTTTAAGGTGAATACATTATTTCCACACTCTGTATTTCTGCTGTAGTTTATATGGAGATACTGTTCTCCACCATAGGGGGGTACAGATATTCGTAGCGGAGAGGGACGGGGTTATGCTTCTGAACCAGAACTTCGTTCCTCTTCCCAATTTCTTTGGAAATCTCCATCAGGCGTTTCTGGAAGGCCAAAATCAATTTCTTGGGGGCTTCCTCTGTGAAATACTTGTCAGGGTAACGCCCCAGGGGGATCTGTTCAAACGAAGGAAAGAACGAGAGGAAATATATTATGCAGCGCATTGAGTAGACGAAAACAACATGGCAGCAGTTGGCAGAAACTGTTAGAGACCACCCATCCCATCATCAGAGCCAAAAGCACATTAGTGTTGGAGAGACATGACTGAGGCAGTCCTTCGTGTCTGAGAAATCTGATGTCAGTAGAATCCCCTGTTTCTGTCCTAGAGACCAGGGACAAAACACAGCAAGCTCATCTCTGCATTCCCAGTTAAGAAAAACACACAATCAACCTTTAAGGATTTTCCTATTCTGATCTCTGAGTGTTTCTACTGGGCTGTCCCAGACCACATCAAGCAACAATGGCTGCTCCTCGTTCCATAGCCCAGAGGGAAAGACATAAGGGTGAGTGAGCCTTCCTATCCCTCCACAGGGACATGTCACTTTCTCTCCAAAAGCACCTACGATCCAAGCACTCACCATGTCTCCCGGAAAGGCGCTGAGCAGCCAGAGGGTGCTCAAGATGATGCATGTGGTGTTGATTTCTGGGATCGTCTCCCTGTAGTTGTCTTCGTTCGCCTGGCCCTTGGTGGTAGGAGGGGGTTTTCTCATGGAAGACGGAAAGTTGGGCATCCAGGCGCCAATATCAAACTGTCACCAAAAAAGGCCAAGTGTCAAGAGAAATCTTAACTGCCTTGGAAGACCAGAATGTTTGCTTGCTTGAACTGCAACTCCCCCAAATCCACGAGCTAGTAACTGGGCTGGCTGGCTGGTTTAGTAGTTTAGGTTTCTGGCTGCAGAGCCCAATGTTGGGAGTTCCGATTCCCCCCACTGGCCTTCCTTGGAGAAAAGCCAGCCTGCGCAGCCTTGGGGAAGCTCCACGCAGTCCCAGGGCACTCCCGGAAGAGGGGAATGGGAACCCACTCTGTACTTGGGAAACCTTGAAAAGGATCGCCATGAGTCAAAAGAGACTTGACAGTACATGATGATAAATAACCTCTAGTATTCCAGAGACTGGAACCGTAAAAATCAACTTAAGTCTCCTTCTTTCTCTTCTACATACACACACCCCACATCTTTTCTGCACCAGAGTGTTCATTATCAGAATGAACAGTTACACAGTCCTTCAATGGGAGGACACCCTTCGTTTGAGGACTGGCCTCTGTAAAGTAGGAGACACAGCCACCCTGCCTGTAGCAATGGAGGACTGCCATCCACAGACAACACCGTTATTGGCAGGACAAAAATCGCCATGTTGTTTTCTTTGGGAATCCTTGTATTTGCAAAGCCAGGTCAAGCAGAGCCTGGAAAAGTTACTTTTAAGGAAGAAAATACCGCATTTTCCCTGTATAAGATGCCCCCATGTATAAGACCACCCCCACTTTTCTAACGTAAAATTAAGACATCTAAGTGGGGCTTAGCAAGTTTAGGGGGAAAGAGATCAAAGCGCTGCGGATTGCTTTGATTCCTGCTTTTTCCATTTGTGCTAAGCCCTGTGGGGCTTAGCAAAAGGAAAGGGAAAGGGATCAAAGCAAGCCCACAATTGCACAATCATTTTGATTCCTTTCCCCCTTATACAGCCCCAGGATTGCTTTTATTCTTTCCCCCCTCCTTTTGTTACGCCCCATGCAACTTAGCAAGCACATGGGAAAGCAGGGATCAAAGCGATCCGGCAGCGCTTTGATCCCTGCTTTCCTTTTGCTAAGGATTAGCAAGTGGAGGGGAAAGCAGGAATCAAAGCCCTATAGAAACAATTTGATCCCTGCTTTCCTATCCACTTGTTTTTGTACTCTCCTCAGCTTACTTCTGTGTATAAGACAACCATCAATAGTCTTATACATGGAAAAATATGGTACATCCCAAAAAGTCATTTTTTGCCAGATTTGAGGCCAAGAGATCTTTTCCAGACATTTCTTGGCATCCCTAGGAAGACTCGCCTCAGGCGAAACTCAGGCCCCTTAAAGTCATTATAAATGGCACCCACTCATTAACATGGATCACAAGATCTTTGGGATGAGGGTGTATGTACCCCTACCTGTCCGCTGTTGACAGCAGCGTGCTGGGCGGAACAAGTAAAAATCACCATAGTCAAGAACTTCTTCAGCTCTTTCACGGTGCTGAACGAGGAAGGGATGCCTGGAAGGGCAAGACGAGAACTAAATTTAGCCAATACTTTAGACAGAGGTGAGTCCTTGATAGGCTTGTAGGGAAGGTGCAAATGCTCTGTTTATTGCATGCCTGCAAATATTTGCAGAATATCAGCAAACTGGATGCTTTCTCTGCTCCTCAACTTTAAATGGTAACGCAAGTCACAGTTAAGCTATCCTGTTCCCATCTGTATTGGAGGTAACTGGGCAACATTAATGTGCACTGAAGAGCATAACAAGTTCGCTTCGATAATCACAGGCAGATACTTAACCACCACACCTTATTCGTTGCTGTTGAACATGAGACGGAAACTCCTGATGTTGTCATTTGAGTTCTCATAATGCCTCACCTCTGTCTAGGGCTGAAGACAGAGGCCCTCCAGAAGCCAGTCGTCCGTTCATCTTGTAGCAAACCTTGACCACCTCGGGGGCTCCAACCTACCTGAAGATTTCTCTCCCAGGAAGGCTCTGTTGAAGATCTCCTCGATCCAGGCCTGGAGTTCCGGATCTTCACTTACAGAGTGATCGTCTCGATAATACAAGTCAACGATGCCAGAGACAAAACTAACAAGAAAAGGGGAAAGGATGGTTAGGGGTAAAGGGTGGAGTCCCTAGGGATCGTTTCCCCCCCCAGTTGGGGATGCTGGATCATTTTGTCCAGTTCATCCTTTAAAGCCAACAAACATAATTTGCTCTTCCTGGTATGCGACTCAGAACCAAAGTTTGGAAAAGTGACCATATTTGGGACTACAATCTCCCTCATTCATTCATTCATTCATCGTAAGATAAAGACATTTCATTCAACTTGAATTGTTGATCGAATGGTATTTATGATTTCATTGCTGTTTTGCTAATATCCTGTCTTCATTGCTACCTAATGCCCTACCTAGCACAGATTTAATTTTCTGAATTTTAACCAGAAATTCCTTAGGGAAAGGGAAAGGTTCCTCTTGACATTGAGTCCAGTCATATCTGACTCGAGGGGGCAGTGCTCATCCGCGTCTCCAAGCCGCAGAGCCAGTGTTTGTCCATAGACAGTTTCTGTGGTCACGTGGCCAGCGCGACTAGACACAGAACGCTGTGACCTTCCCACCAAGGTGGTACCTATTTATTGACTCGCATTTTTACATGCTTTGCAATGGCTAGGTTGGCAGGAGCTGGGACAAGCGATGGGAGCTCCCTCCGTCGTGTGGATTCGATCTTACGACGGCTGGTCTTCCGACCTTGGAGCATAGAGGCTTCGGCGGGTTAACCTGCAGTGCCACCCCTCACTAAAATTTGGGACAGAGTTCTCAAGTCAAAGACTTCATTAAAAAATTCTCTGGAAAATGCATGCAAATATGTATTTATTTGTGAACGTTGCAGGAAAAGTAAATGCTTATAATTTTTTTGCCTTAAAAATGAATCTGCAGAATGTTGGAGGCATGAGACAGCAGGAATCAGGCAGAAAATAACACAAAACCCAACACAATCTGTATATTGGCCAATTTTATGTGCCTTGTTTCGCACCCAACAGCACGGAATCCCCCCTCTGTTTTTTTAGCAAATGGATCCATACACAAAAATGGCAATGAGGCCAGTATATAGTCTGAAATTGCAGCGTGCAATGCTTTGCCAGCATAAGGCGCTGTGTGATCTCTAACTTGCTGTTACACAACGTGGAGATTAGCATCAAAAGGAAACCAGCTTCGCGCTTGCCAGAGAATGTGGCCTCGTTGCACAAGCTGAGAAAAAAGGTTCCTTTTCTGAAGTGGAACAAACGAAGGGGTTACTGAGAGGAACTGGATGACTGAATTGAGGCCATTATGAGCCACAGAATTGCAGGCCTTCCTCTCGAGAAAGTTCATGATGTTGATAAAATGAAGGTCGGCTTTCAAAAACGACTAAAAAGGAGCCCCTTTGGCAGCGACCGACCTCTGACCTTTCGTCCTTTGAACACCCGTTGAAATTCATCCGGAGGTTGTCTTTGATTACAGAACATCGCTCGCTCGCTCGCTCTCTCTCTCTCTGTTTACTACAACCCCCAGAATCCCCTAAGTAGATAGCTAGGATATTCTGGAAGTGGTGGTCCAAAAAACCTCTCCAGGTTCCAGTAGACACAGGCCCACGAAATCACCCACAAAATGGGCCAGAACAGACCCAAAATCCACCCGCCCTTCATTCCACAGCCATGCCACCCCGTTGCCTGCCCCCCGCTCTCTCCCTGAGCCCGCCTGACCTTTCTGTGGCTGCCCAGATCTTCAGACCATCATCCTTGTAGTGAAAATTGGGCAACGAGGACACCCCCCGGGCCTCGAGGTCTTCCGGCAGGCAGAGGGAGGAATACGTCAGGGCTTTTGTGCCCTTCTGCAACAGCTTGACTAAGCCCTCGTAGGCGATACCAGTGGCCTAGATGGAGCGAGAAAACGAGGTTCAACCTTGTAGAAGAACGTAAGAAGAACCCAAGCCTGAAAACTTAGGGTGTGATGACCCAGGGGGTTGTCCCACAGCTTAGCCTGTTCTGGGAAAGGCTAGTGCACTCCTTGGCGTTTCCCCCGCAACCATACCCTGTAAGTGCCAGAGTGAACCAGTCTATCAGAGTATTTGCAACCGCATCTTTTTTAGTTTCCTGTGAGGGGCTACTGTTTTGTAGGTGTGTGCAGGGTTGCTCCATTTTGGTTCAGTTCCAGCATGTTTAAAGGCTGGAATCAAACCAAAGGTGCTGACTGGCTGCCCCTTTGCAGGAGCCACTGAATGGTCTTCAGAAACGGAAATCTTCCTCGCCTCTTGCCTTTGGAGGGCAAGGGAAAGGAAATCTTGCCTTTCTTTTTCATTGTCACTAATATATCACCAATGCTTTCAGAAGGCTCTTTTTAAAGCCTCATCATCTTATTTAAACATCACTGATGCACCGTGTCAGTTTGGAACAATTAAAAATAAAGACAAAACTTCCCTTCCCCTCCAAAAAGGAGTGGAAAGGAAGATTTCTCTTTCTCGATATTGTTAAGGAGCTCTTTCTTCTGTGCTTTGCCTAAACCGCTTAATAATCTTGAGAAATAGGGAGCTTTCCTTCTAAAGGGAAAGAAATCTTGATCCCACCTAAACAGGATCGCTTGGGGTGCAGTGGGGTCAATTCTTTCATGCCCTTAAAGAAAATAAGACCTTCACAATCCATAAAAGATTGTGAGCAAAATAGGTGTGGGGGAGAGAATCCTGTTCAACGGTCTCTAAAAAACACCTTTCATATTAGCTATGAAAGTTAATGAGAAAACCCACAGGCAAATGAAAAAAAATAATTTTATTCCACCCTTGTTCACTAAAAAATAGCCCGTTACAGGTTCATTATTTCGATTTTACCCGGAAATACCAGCAGAGTGGTGAGATTCCCGATTAACGTACCTGATCAAAGATCCCACCTTTCGGAACTAGACTTCCACGTGCCAACGTGTTGATGTGAAGAGTGTAGCGCGTGTAGGGAACCAGGAGCTGCGGGAGGGAAAGGAAAGGGAGTGGATTATGGAACAGGAGGCCCCTCTCCACGATTTTTCTGAGCTCTCTTCCTTAGACCAGTCCCGGTTTAAGGGTGGACCAGAGCCTTTTACCTTATAGATTGGGTGGCAAAGGGGGAGCTGGCGGATCGTGGCCATGGTGAACACCTCTCCCAGCAGGTGCGTCCGGAGCAGGTGGGTGAGAGCCTGGTGGACGTGGAAGTCGGCGTTACGGACCCATGTCTTGGCCAAGATCCAGTCCCATTCAGAGTCGCTGGGCAGGAAGATGGGAGACTCAGGACCGGGGCTCTGGGTCAGCTATGGGAGAAGGAGGAAGAAGAAGCTGAATAACATCAATCACAGGAGGCTGAAACCTTCAGGGGTAACCTCTAAGATAAAGCTTTAAAAGGTAAAGCTCAGAGGTCACTTTCATAAATGCTGGATAAAACAGGGCTAATGAAAAGCAGCCTCCCTTTTTTTGCTTTGAAAAGTTGCTCAATTCTTTGAGGTTCCATTTGTGTGGCAGGTGGAACCACAATGGGGAAGCGCATGGACCTGAGAAAAAGACCCAACTAGACTGGGATAATCTGGCTGTCCGATCACATAGTTAGACAGAAAATAGTAGACAGATGACAGGGATTGTAACCACTTGAACTTGGTTTGGTCCCCAGACTGGGACTGCAACTCCCAGAAGCCTTCACCACTGGCTGTGCTGGCTAGGAATTCCTGGAGTTGTAGTCCAAGAACATCTGGGGACCCAAGAGTGAGAATCACTGCACAGGCTTGCCTTCAGCTCCTCCCCCTCCCACCTCACCACCAAGGGACTGGTGCCACCCGACGGCGAAGCGATCTTCCCGGGGTCCTATCTTCCTCTGACCGGAATCGGTTACCTGGATGGCCAGAGGCAGGAGCTGGTCTTGGGCCGAGAGGTGGAGCAGGCACAGCGGGGCAGCCACGTGCTGCTGGCGTCCGTTATTCAGCCCCGCTGGGACATCCTCCAGGATGCGATAGTCGGCAATGAAAATCTTGCCCTCCTGTAAGGTGTGCATTCCAAGAAAAGGAGAAAGATGGTATGTGTGTGTGAGAGAGAGAGGTTGAGTCACCATAGGTAAGGATAAAGGTTCCCCTTGACATTGAGTCCAGTCATGTCCGAGTCTAGGGTGCGGTCCTCATCCCCGTCTCCAAGCGGTAGAGCCAGTGTTTGTCCGTAGGCAGTTTCTGTGGTCACGTGGCCAGTGCGACTAGACACGGAACACCGTTACCTTCCCACCCAGGTGGTCCCTATTTATCGACTCAAATTTTACATGCTTTTGAACGGCTAGGGTTTCAGGAGCTGGGACAAGCAATGGGAGTTCCCTCCATTGCGTGGATTTGATCTTAAGACAGCTGGTTTTTGACCTAGCATTATTCATATTGGGGATGTGGCGGCACTGCGGGTTAAACCGCTGAAGCCTCTGTCCTGCAAGGTCAGAAGACCTGCAGTTGTAGGTTTGAATCCACACAACAGAGTGAGCTCCTGTCACTTGTCCCAGCTCCTGCCAACCTAGCAGTTCGAAAGCATGCCACATGCAAAATGCAAGTAGATAAATAGGTACCACCACGGTGGGAAGGTAACAGTGTTCTGTGTCTAGTTGCGCTGGCAGAAGATTGTCTTTGGATAAATGCCAACTCTATGGGTAGGAAACGGAGATGAGCACCGCCCCCTAGAGTTGGACACGACAGGACAAATTGTCAAGGGGGACCTTTATCTTTACTACCATCCTCCAGCCACTTGTCCTGCTCTGGGGAGATTCTGGAAAGCCTTGCTTCCCCTCCTACTTAGATTCACAGACCTC